GATTATTAATAAGAGAAATTAGTTAGAAAATAAGATATCTTTAAGTTTAAGAAAATGATTTTAATATTTTTGTAAAAACAATTATACTATTAATCTAATATTAACATTAAATAAATAAGAATTATCAATATCAATTTCTAATCTATAAAGCCATTGAGAAGAGAGCTTATTAAAATTCAATATAATAAACTAATTATTAAAATAATATAAAGGAAGACTTAAAAGTAAATAATATATTTTTTAATTAAAATATTATGTTCAGCAATTATAAAAGTTGAAAATATTCAAAGAAGAAGTATTAGAAATACTTTTATTAAAAATTCTTCTTTATAATATTTAAAAAAAGTAGTAGAATATGATTTTGATTTATTAGCATATTTGAATATGATTAATTCTTATTATTCATTTATATTATATAAGTTTCTTTTAAAATAATCAAATCTACAATTTTGCTGATTAAAGTGATCTATATAAAGATATTACAAAAATTATATTTAATATAATATTGCAATTTGTTTATTATCTTGCAAACTATCATTTAATTTATTGAGAGATTTTTGATAAGAATATATTTAAGTATAGGTGTATTAAAATTAAAATTAATAGTAAAGATCAAAAAATTTAGTTAATATAACATATTATTCATCATTACTTTATTAGCTTTTAGTCTTTCTTAATTAATAGATAGAACTTCTTTTATAATCAAAAAAATTTTATTTAGGGATAAACACATTTTTAAGAATAATTTAAAATATTTCTTAAAAATTATTAAAGAATATGAGGATTTTTAAGCAAATTATAATATTTGTAATTTGAATTAATACTAAATAATATTAATTTATATATAGTCTTAGCAAAAGAATGATGATATAATTTTTTACTATATAATTAACTTATTTTAAAAAGATTTATATAAACAATTTATAGTATTTTATATATATTATTAGTTAGAATATTATATGTATTATTTAAAGTTCACAATATATATTTTAATATAATAAAAATTTTATGATTATAATATAAGATTTAAATTTGAATAATCATTAAAATTAAGAATACAAAAAATTTTACTATATTAACAAGTTTTATCTATTAATAAAAAATGTTCAGCTAAACATTTTACAGTAGAAAATAATATATTCTAACTAAAAAAACTAGAAAATAGAAAACATAAAGTTAATTAATATAAAAAAAAATTAACTTTTTAGTTTTTTAATATTTCAACTTCTGTTTAAATTTAGATTAACAGAATAGGAGAAAACTTTTTTTATTTTAATTTTTTGAATGTATAATTCTTTAATCAAAAATATTTAAAAATTAAAAGTTATTTATTAAAATCTTTTATTATTTAAAAAAACTTTTAATATTTTTTTTGTTAGAAATTATAGATCAAATTAATAATTAATTATATTAAAAGTAAAAAATACTATCTTAAGAATCTAATTGATAAATTAAAGTCTGTTAGTTCAAATTATTGTTTAATCCAAAATTAATAAATATCATGTAAACTTTCACTAAAATACATAAAATATTAATTATATAATTAGTTATCATTAAAGAAATTTACATTATTAATTTTTAAATTTTGATTTTCTATTAAGAAATTTTTAGGTAACTCATCGCTAATAATAATATTAACAAAAATTAATTATGTTTTAGCTAATAAATAAAAGATATAAATAATTTTATTATGACAAATTATAAAATTTTAAAATAAATTTAAAAGTAGATAGATAGATTATAAGAAAAATATTAAAGAAGAAAGAATTTTAAAGAATATGAATAGTGAATTTTAGCATATTTTGTTAAAAGTTGATAATATTTTATAGTATTAACTAACTACTATAAAGATAATATACTGAAATATAGAAAAAATTTGCATAATTAATATCTTTTTATTTTGATAAAGCTTAATAATTTATTTAGAATTTAATCTAAATCTATATTATTTTTATAAAGAATTTTTACTGAATTTCTATCTAAATAATAGCAATGATATATTAATTTATATATTTATAGAAAAGAATAAGATTGATAAAAGGAAATATTTATTATATATAAAATAATAATTATTATTAAGTATTAATCTTTAAATAAAAGTTATATTAGAGAATATGATCAGATTTAAGTAAATAATATTATAAAGAATAATATTATATTAGTGAATAAAACAATCAGTAAGAATACAAAATTATTTTTATGATAATGCAGTTTTTTAATTATATCTTATATTGATTTGCAATTTTATACATTTTTTTAATATACTTAATCTTTTATCATTAGTGTAGTAAGATTTGTATTAGATAGTAGATTTATTGCTTTATTTTATATTTTTTGCATATAATATCACAAATTTACAAATTTATTTAAAATAAAAGAATAAATTAATATTTGATTTATATAATAAAGATAGTATATAATATAATAAACTTAAAATCAATAGTAAAATATATTTTTAAATATAAAATAGTAGTAAAATTTCTTTAATATAATTAATGAAGAATAAATTTTATTTAAAGAAAATTTATTAACAAAATATAAAAATACAAATAAATTTTAAACTTAATAAAATTATAAATACTAAATTATTTAAATAAATAGCATATTAGTATATATAAAAAATATAAAAATAAATAAAAAAGTAAATAATAAGCAGAAAGATATAGCATAATAGATAATATTTGTATAAATAATACTAATTGAAAGTATTTTACGTTTATGCTATAAATAATAATTTATTTTTATTTATATTATTTAAAATTATAAGTAAAAATTTATTATATTTCTTATTTCTTAAACTATAGAACAGAAAAATTTGTTTGTAAATATAGAAAAAAAAGTATTAATTTTTAATAATAATTAAAATTTTAATTTTAATGATATAATTATTATATAAAAAATTTAGTTTAATATTTATTTTATTAATTTTATTAGAAATTAAATAATATTCAATTTTAAAATTAAATTTTAAAATATTTATTATAAAAATTTTCTTAAAATTTATATTATTAACATTAAAATGAACATTATTATAAATATAGAATATAGCATATAAGAAGTATTAGGTAATAAATAATATACAGTAATAATTAATAAAATATTACATCAGAAAAATTAAAATATTAAAGATTTACATGATTTACCTGATTTTTCTGATATTAAAATATTTATTATATCTGTGATAATAAATAATTTTTATTTTTAAATATCTTTGTTATTTTTATTTTTCTTATATTTTATATCTGTATTTTATTTTATTTTACTATTTATTATAGCTGAAGTTTATAAATATAGTTAATTTATAATATAGTAAATAGTTAATTATAATAAATTAATTTATATAAATAGAATAACTTTTGCTCAAATTGTAAATTAATTCTTAGGTAATTTTAAATTATAAATAAAGGAATTAATTTAAAATTACAAATTACTTTTTAATATTATTTTATCTAAAATTTGTTTTGAATTTTTATATTAACTTGTTTTTGAGTTTATTATTTAAATTTAACTAAATAAATTTTAAATTTTAAGATATATAAATTACAAAATTGATTTAAATATAATAGATCTATAAAACTTAAAGAATATTCTAAGCTTATAAACTTCAACAAATAGAATCAATTGCTATAGCCCTTTTGACTTAGATGTTAAGTTAACTTAAACTAAACCCAATAATAACATAATCTTATCAAGTTATTTTTCAATTATTAATATATTTAATGATAATATTATTAGTGTAAATTATTCTAAAGATAAAGATAAAGCTTTTAAATTAATTATTTTAGATTTAAAATTTATTATATCAATAATATTTTTGGCAGATTTTAATATATTTATCAAGAATGAATAAAATATTTTAAAGCAATTATAATTTTTCTGAAGTAAAATATTCTTTAGAAATTTTTAATTTCAATATAAATATAATTTATTAAAACTGATGAATTTTCTTCAACTTATAGAATAATTTTAGATAAATATATGACATATAATAACATCTTTTATTTAAAATTTACAATAGCAATTGTTAATTTTTTAAAAAATTAGATTTTTTGATTCAGAGATTTATAATGCATTAAGGATTTTTTGATCCTAAATTTTTATTAAAAAAGAGTGAGATTTCAAATATAGAGATGGAAATATTAAAGAAAATAATTATTTATCAATTAATAAAATTTTTCCTGCATATTTTAATATAATGGATTTAAAACTAAAATGGGAAATAGTTAAATAAATTTTAAAATCATTTCTGATTTTAATTTTGTAAAAGAGATGGGAACATATTTGAAACACAAAATCGGATTTATAAAAGATTGAATTATTATCCTTAATATTTAAACTTATAAGATTAGCATTAATTATTCCTCTTTCTAATGCTCATGTTGAGCGTTTATTTTCTCTCATAAATTAACCAAACTAAATTGAGAAATCAGATGTATTATGATACATTGAATATCGATATGCATTTACTGATGATTTTCGGAATTGTATATATAATTATTGATTTAATCAACAAGTTAGGCGAAGTAATGAATAAAATTAGAAATAAATAAATAAACAATTTTATAAATAATAAATTTTTTTAATAAACATTTATAAAATTATTAATATGCGGTATATTTGCACACTAACTAACTGTTGTTTTATAAAATTAAATATCGAACCCAGAAAGAAGTTGAAGCACAACCAATTAATTAAGATCTTGAGAGACCTGTGAATGGAATTCATTAGCGAAATACTATATACAGTATATATTCTATTTGTAAATCAATGTTATCCAAATTTTAGTGACGTATGCGGACAAACAGACATCGTCACGTGATCGTATTATCGAACCTCTTTAACGTAAACATATATAGTCCTTCGCTTCTCTCCGGACAATAATTTACGGTTTAAAGCTAATGACCATAATTTGTATCGTGCTCATTTTTTAGGTGTATATTATTTTTCATTGGGTAAAGTTTAAAAAAACTCAATGTATAATATTCCCAAATATCAATTAATTACTTTGAACGCGAGGGGATTTTGTTTCCTTGCTTTGCAAAGCAACGGGATAATGGGGTTGGATCTAAAATGGAATATAGAAATTATGATTAATTACTTGTATTCATTTATTAAAAGCAAGGATGAATAAAGGTAGGATTATATATACCGATCATGCCGGGAAACGTCCTGGAACTAAATACTGTAAATGTATTAGAACGTACCGATTCTAGCACGTTTATAGGCATAAAACCCAAGTTTATACTGCCCTGCCTGGAATTAATATAAATTCAAGTAAATCTCTGATCAAAAAAAATTTTTTTTTTATTACGAAAAATTTAAAAGGATGTAAATTAATAAGAGAATTTTTACCAGCCAATGCATATCAGATTAAATTCAAAAAAAAATTGACCATCAGATCGAACACTCAAATCTTTGTAAACGAACCATATATCTTGATTTCCCGAAGTATCTTCCAACTTTTGGCCATTTGCGAACTTCTCTCCGATGAGGTACATCGACGTAACCTCGAGACCTGATTGAAATTCGTGCAAGTTGGCTTGTAATATAAAGAAACCAGCGTCGATCGAATCAATATTAATCGGTTTATTTCCATCAAGGATTCGGAGGCGCACAAACGGTAATGGGGAGATGAGTCTTCTGCCCTGAAAATGATTTAATTATTTTTAACTAAGATATGAATGTCGTTTGCGGATGAAATTTGAAAATTTTACTTACCCTATCTTCTCCAAATCCGCTCATTCTTGCATGAATAGGTTGTTGGACAACCTCAAGTTGAAACCTCCAATTAGTAATGCTAAATATAAAAATGTCAATAAACCGATGAAGGTTTCAATTTGTGACTTTATGCGAGGAAAAGAACTCCCTACCTATGTTCCATTTTTTTTTTGGTTTAAGTTGGATGAAGAGACGGGATATTATGGTGATTAGAAATAGGGGTCAGATAGAAATGGTGAAATGGAAAGTCGTAGTAATGGTCAATATTGGAAAACGGCGATAGGGAAGGTCAATTTCCTGGTCATATTTATAATAAAGATGGATTAACTTTCTTTTTCCTTTTTTTCTCTTTTTCTTCTTTTTTTTTGTTTATATTTGGTAGATTTTTTTTTTTAAAAAAAAAAAAAAGAACAACGAACCAATTTTATTAATGAATACGCAACAATATAATTGACGGAACCGGACTCAGCGCAATAGAATGTTGAATCGAATAAAAAAAAAAAATGACTGTGAAACGACAATTAAAGTGAAATGCGCTTAATTAATTGCACCAAATGCGCTAAACTTCAAACGTTTTCCATTATGACTAAATATGGAAAGAATAAAATTATAATACATGCTTACAAAACCAATCAATTAGACAATCCACATTACCGCATTATCACATAGATTATGTCAAATTTCATCACATCGCCAGGTATTTTTAAAGTTCAACAATTGGTGATTAGGTCACAATTATATTGTTAAATCAAATGGGTCACAAGTCAACTGGTTAAGTAAGTTCATTTAACGTTTAAAAAAGACCGTTCTAGCCAGTTCATGAATGTATAAAAATTATGTCTTGCATTTATATTGTTCAGAGTTAAACATGACCTGCCTTTTTAATATTGAAAATGCAATTATATAATATTATAGTTTTATCAGTTTGGGAATTTACCGCGTCCAAAAGTACTAGACTCAAATAACATTCAAAGTTCCATTTACCTTATTGTGGTGAATTATATCATTCCTTATGAATCTTTTTGTCGTTTCTCCATTTTTAATTGTAATGTCCACTGAAATAATTGTAACCAGTCCCGTTTCATTTAGGGATTGTACGGTTAGATTTTTTCATATGATCTTAAATACTGCTTAGATATGACGAAAATGGTTAAATATTGAATGATAAGGACTTCTCTTTT